CGAGTTCAGTCATTATTCATTAAAAAATAATTAAAAGATAATATTTAAAATTAATTTGAAATAAATGATATGCTAATTTTTTCTTAGAATCTGATAATATAATGATTCATTTTTTCTAAATAATAATAATAAATACTTATAAATATATGTTAGAGATAATCTTTAAGAGAATATCATTGCCTTGAACTTTGCCGTGCACAACAGTTCTTACAGGTATGGAGAATGCAGTACTAGATATACATTTTGGTTAATCTGAGTATCTGGTTGTCATCGTTTAAGTTTCAAAACTATTTTTTGTATTTTGTTCCGGTCCCATTTTTAACACCAGAACTGCTAATTGAAGTCGAAGTGTTTAAATAAAATCGGGATAATTGCAATGCCTGAGTTAATTATTTTAGTAAACTCTATCTATATTCTTTCTGATTTGCCTTGGTATCTTATTGTCAGTTTAGTTTTAAAAATACTTTTTTAGTCTCATATTTAAAGTCAAAGTGCTTTAATCGAATTAAGGATTAATTACAATGTCCATTTAATGATTCACTGATTTAATGATTCCTATAAATGCCAGAAAAAAATACATTATTAGTGTCGTATTCAAGAAATCCATTTATTCCGATATCAACTAATGTGGTTCCCGCAATATTTCTTATTCTTATTCTTACTTTCTCTAAATTATTAATTTGTAGAAGTATTTATATAGAGTTGTTATATCCAAAAAGCTTCAAAGTTCAATATATTAATACATTAGAGTTTGGTTTAATAATTAGTAACACTGTTTATGTCCTCATCATCATATTCTTTTTCTCTAATTGTGTGCAAAAATATATTTCTCTTTAGTGATATCTTTAGCAAATTTATTTCCATTCTAAATTGTTTTCACTTTCCATATGATTTTTTAACCTATTTAATTTTTTTATAAGACCCAAAACTTAACTATCTTTCTTTTTTACTTTGAAGAACTTGCTTAAGTGGGTGACCAATGATCAGTCATCATTTCCAATACAAATGTATCTGATGCTGTGAAGTGTGCTACTTTTTGTCTTTAAAATTATTTTTATTATATTTTTTGGTAAATTTGGTAATACCGGTTTTTGTTTAAGTTTTTTCTTTTGTTTTCTGATACATTGTTTTTTTTTAAACTTCGACTTATTGCAGTTTATTCAGTTGAAAAAATACAAAAAGAAAGGTTCGCGAAAAAAAACGAAAGTTATAAGCGAGCATAGCTCACTATTGAAAAGATACTAAACTAAACATTATGTTGTGGACTTTCAGCAAAAAAATTTCAGCTCAAATATTTAAGTTAATCAAAATATAAATATATAATTAGGTTGAAAATGAAATTTTTTTTAACGGTTTTACGTATTTATCAGTTTATTAGTGAGTTAATGTGTTAAAAATATGTAAGCATAGGAATTCATTGATTTATGATGAATTCAAAATTAACCTAATATATTTTTTTTCATTTTTATATCTTTATAATTATTGCAACTTAATTATAAAATAAATGTTAGAAAAAAACAATAGTCATTATTTTATTTGACAGGGTTTAGTACTCTGTCATTGTAATCTTTTAGGTCTGGATAATTTATTTTGAATTATTTTCATCAAGATTACTGATAACAAATAGTTAACACCATCAGTCTAACTCAACATTTGAATTATATATAAAATATGCAAACTTTATTACTAAACTTATTTCGTAAATGTAATATAGTAAGTGTATATAGAACACTTATACTAAAACACTAACAAGACCTGCGGTACTGCACCAATGTTTCAAAGTTAGAGTATTGCAACAAGCAGACTATGCATGAACTGTCATGATAAAGATAAATCTATTAATCACCTTTCATGTGTCTGCCTTGGATTTTAGACGAACCGGCTCTTGTATCTAGAAGACCGTTCCTTTACTAGCCTCACAGATTAAACTAAATTAAACTTATCGGATCTTATTAATTGAATCTGGGAAACCAAATTGCTTAACAAGGCTACACTAGCAGCCATTCTAAAAAAACAGTTAATGTAGTTTGTCCGTTTTTGGTAACTTTAAAGTCACTATAATGGGCGATAGTTATTTTCGAGTGTAGGTATTTTTGTTCGCAACAAAATGATTTTTTTAAACTTAACTTGAACAAAAGTTACCTAAATCTTCTTATAAGTGAAGGTGCATATATAATTTATTTCTGTGTTTTTTTTATAATGTTTCACTAAAACAAATCCTTAACATTTACCAGCTATTAAGTCATACATGAAAAATTATATACTACATTTTAATTGCTTCACTCACTCACTCATAAGAGCCAGCTAATAGCACTAAAAAAAACGAAAAAATAAAAATGAAATACAATAAAATATAAAATAATTAAAAAAAAAATATCTATATGAAACGTGTATAGAAACATTTTTAATGCTTAAAAATATTATACACTTTCATCACCTATATAGCTAACATATTTCACCTGTTGCCCCTATAAAATGAATAAACTGAAAATTCAAAACAAATAGATGTATATACAGCATGTGTATGTTACTTTTTGTAATTATAAGTTGTGTACTCTGCAAAATAAATAAATATAGTTCATGTTCAGTAGCACATATGTTGCAGTTTAACATTTTTTATTGCTGCATTAAAGCATCCTGCATGCGAGCCCTTGGTAAACATCTTGCAAATGTGCTCATTAAGCACAATTACTTTAACAGCTTTGAGCATAATATTTTTATATGTTAAGCAATATTGTTTTTTGTATTTTTTGTTAAAATATTTTTGCAACAAAAATTAATGTCATTTGGTTGTCATTTACTTGTGTGCTGCCCAACACGTGCGACATATTATCTTAACCACTCAAACTAATTTAAGTTTTTTTACCCTACACCACAATAAACCATTTTCCATAAAACTGGTACTACTGTGGAAACTTCATACTCCTAAGTTCAAATAGGTTCAACTATTGTAAGTGTTGAGTTTCTTCTGCTCTTCTTAAGCGAAGTGAAGACTTGCCATTTTAACACTCTACCATCCTCTACTATTCTTTTTAGAAACTTCCTTTAGGGCTTTTCACTTCCGTTCCGCCACAATTGCTAGTCTTCACTTATATCAATGGAGTGACTGGCTTCATGTCGGTTCTTCTTACCTTTAGCATACAATTTATTTATTCAATTGTTTATTTCTGTTACCATTTCTTTAAGGCACTCCATACTAACAATTCACGAATACAATTGTGTTTTTTAGGGAAACTCTGAGTCATGTTACACTTTATTTAGTTGCGCCAACGTCTTTTATGCAAATGTTAAAAAGTATAAAAGTATCTACCAAATTGAGTTTAGTGTGTTTGTTTTACGCAGGTATAAGATACATGAGTATGTTCCTCATTTTATATTGATATCATAAATCAGCCTGAAGTTGAAGTTTTGCAGTACACTAATGTGTTTCAAAATAAAATGTGCGATTAAATTTTTAGGTTAAATAGGGTCAAACTGAAGCGTATATATATTTCAGATACATTTAAGTGTGCTATAGTATTTTGTGTGTAAAGTTAACTACGTATTAGTAATGATATGACTCATGTCAGTGTAATAAAATAAAATAACATGTAATAAAATTTTTCAACAACTCTTATTTTAATGCCGTGATATTTAGTTCAACTTATATCATTTGCTATAAGAGCATATTCATTCCTTTAGTTTATATATAACATTATGCTATAAAAAATATTTTATAGAAAGGTTTCAAATAGTAAAGAACTGCAAGAACAAAAGTTTTTATTCATTTTTAGTTATTTAAATTTTTGGTTGACCATATATATTAATTGTTTCAAGTATTGCCAAATACGCATCATCAGTAGTTCTGGAATTATTTCTTATATATACTTTATCGTAAATAATTTTTTTAAACTGCAAGTACCAAGGGTTGAATTAATACTCTGCCAAATTTGAAGTTCAGACTTATACAAACTCATAAGCCAACTGGCCCAAAACTACAACTACCAAGGCTTGAATCAATACTCTTCCAAATTTATCACAAAATCGTACTTGACTGTATGTATGTTCGAACTTGGAGTTTTGTTAATTTGCTGTAAAAGTTCATTAACAAAAATATAGTTTATTGTTTATATAGACTGCAGTGACTATATTAAAATAGTCATAATATAGTCAATAGTGACTATATTAAAATAGTCATAATACAATTAATAGTGTCCATATTATAATAGTCATAATCAAGTCAATAGTGACTATACTAAAATAATCATAATAAAGTCAATAGTGACTATACCGAAATAATCATAATAAAGTCAATAGTGACTGTATTAAAATTGTCATTACCATCACAACTGATGTTAAAATCAAATTTAATAAAAAAATTTTAATTAATATTTCTTAAATGCTTGAAAGTTAAATTCATTGAAATTGCTGGATTTTGAATATATAATAAAGTTCGTTTATGATCAGTTCTGAAGCATACAAAATCCACCAAAGACTTTCTCTCTCTAACTTTGTTTCTACTTATATTTCAAAAGAAAATCAATAAAATATTTATATTTGTACCTAATTTAAGTTTGTTAAACTTAAATTGTTAATGTTTAGAAAATTGATTTTCACACTAAGTTTTCTCAGTAAAGTTTTTTAATAGTATTTTTTTATAGACTTCCCAGTTTTATAGTTCTTTCACCGTAACTTCAAAAAAAAAAGAATATGATCATTGTTTTAAGAAACAAATGTAATTAATTTTTTAAAGTTTTATGTAAAAACATAGTTTCTTTTTATTTTCAACAATATTTCTACATTACATGAGTTAATATCTTATAATAAAATAGTGCAAGTTCCATTAAAAAATAACAACCAAAATGATATAGTATGACATTTAGCAAACACTAATAAATAGTATTGACTTATCAATCAAAAATTATTACAAAATCAACACTTCATAAATCTCTTGACAGGCAATAAAAATTTATTTTAACACTAAATAATTTTAATTTTTAGCACAAGTTGGTACAATAAACTTCGCCAATTATGTCATTACCTTAATTAAATTGAAAATAATTAAGCGACAAATAATTTCACCAAAATGATTAAATTTCGTTATAAGCGTAAAGATCCCACAAATGTGGTTCCTGCCACAACTACAGAAACAACAAATACAACAGCTAATACCGCTGCAGCCACAACGAAACTAAAAACCAAATCAAATACCTTGCCGACAACGACGATAGCAACAACAACAACATCTCCGAGTAACAACAGGGATTTCAGTAGTGCAACCAAAGAAAACTTTAAACCCCTAAACGCAAACATCAATGGTGTTAGCAATTTCTATGCAACATCACCGCCACGTTCTCAAACCTCCACACCCATAAATATTATTAGCTCGGCGCCACAGAAACTCCAACATCCGCAACTTTGTCAATTGATAAGCAATAATGGCACTTTGCCACGCAGCAGCCCAAAGAAAACCATTGAAGCATACGATGGTCACAACAAATCGGCCACATTGACACGCCAATCAAACAGTAGCCGCAAAGTGAGTGCACTGGCCAAAGTAGCCTCCACGGCTGAGTTGGTTGGCATAGGCTATACCAATATCAACACATCGGCAGTTGGTAATGGTTTGCCTGCGGAAGTGTTAGCGGAACGTGATAGATGTATCAGTGCTGTGATTGTGAGTTTGTAGTTTATAAGTTAAAAAACATAATCATTTGCAATGCATTTACCATAAGAAGTTAATCAGTACAATTAGATCTATATTGAATAGAGTAAATAGTATTTAATAGCAGTTAAATATAATTTTCATTGTATTTCCGCTAAAACTAATTTATTTCCTTTCCTTTTATTCTATTTAGGAACTTTTTCAACAATTGCAAACTAGTTCAGAGCCTGCGTTGTGCCCTGAACCTTTGCGACGCGCCTTGGCAAGTGGTCCATTAGCTGGTCGACGTTTTCCCTTAGGATGCTTGGGTGATGCAGCTGAATGCTTTGAGCTATTACTACATCGCGTCCATTCACACATTTCCGATAGCGATGGCGATGCTTGTGAGTCCCAAGCCTGCATTGCTCACAGACGCTTTGCTATGCGCGTTATTGAGCAAAGCGTTTGCAAATGTGGTGCCAATTCTGAGCAACTGCCATTTACACAGGTCAGTAAAACGGAACTGCAATGCATGTACACTACATGTTCTGTTTTTAATTATAGTTAACATTAATGAGTTCTACATATATGTCTTTAACATTTATTAAATAATTGCATTGACATCATTATCAATAGTTATTAAAACTTTTAGTGATTGGTAATATATTGCCGATAGCATAAAATACATAAAAGTTAGCGTTACTAGTTGAAACAGAAATAGTTAGCTACTTTGATGCTGCGTTATCGCCATATTGTAATTCCTTAATAAAACAGAAAGATTTTTAAACAGGAGGGAATAACAGCAACTAAATTATTATTTTTAATTAATAAAATTTTTCGCTGAGCATAAACCTTTTCAAGTATAACAGAATTAAACATTATCTGTAGTCTTTGAAAATATTTTTAGTACTTAATTTCAACTCATACTTCGACAGATTCGATGTGCTACGCCACGTTTTAGCTAATCATAACCATAAATCATTATATCCATGTAGAATAATAATAACATAATTACACATCATCCAGAAATATGTTTTCTGGACCTTAACTATTTGTAAATAATTTTTCAAGTACTCAGATTTCAACTAATACTTAGATAAAACCAAAGTGTCGAGCCAAGTCTTAATAAATCATAACCATAAACCATAATACGCAAATAGAATTGTACTATTATTTTTGTAGAGACATTATTTAGTACATACTTTTTAGTACATAATTTTTAGTACATAATTTTTAGTATATAATTTTTAGTACATAATTTTTAGTACATAGTACATTTGAAGACTTGTGAACTTGTGAATAAAACACTCCTGTCTCTGATATATCAATCCAATTTTAAATTCAATATACATGTTGATCCAAACCTTGCCTTGTATTTTACAGCTAAATATAATATTATTATTTAAATGTTCTACATGTGACATTTTTTAGTACAGCATTATTTTGAGATATTTTTTGATGCGTTTAGATGAGAACATAAGTGGAAATAGTGCGACTATAATGTTTTTAAACTGCCGGATTATTGAAAATTGCTTGCGATCCTTTGTGCAATTGCATAAAAAATTAATGTGATGATAAATCTTATGATTTAGTGTTCAATTCACATCACCGAAATATAAAACTATAAGTCTAGAAAAAATGTTTGGCGCTACAAAAGCAAAATAGAACGTACCGGGTTATTGACTGGAACATACTCTGTCTTTCTACATAAAATTATAGTTATTTTTTATACAAATACACATTTATTATAAACCGTAAGGACTTACGACAATAACTGGTATAATCGTTGCTTCAACTACGACTAGGTTTGCAAGAATACTTAATAATTTATTTAAAAGTTTCTCAATTAATTTTAATTTTCAAAATAATACAATTAAAAATAAATTAAAAATGTTATGTTACAAAAAACAATAATTAAATTTATAAATACAATTTATAAATACAAGTGCATATAGCATTCAACATATACAATAATAATTTCTAACACAATCTCTTAAAAACGAATCTAGTATCAGTTTATAAATGTTATTTTTATTGCATTTAGTATTACTAGATATATCCAGTAAGCAAGTGTATATAACTATCACTTAATCTTAACAAAAGATTCACTTATAACATCTGCAACATAAAAAAAATTTATCTCAGATTTATCGCTCCTCAGCAAAAGCAAATCAATTAACCTTTTAGTGCCCACACAAGTACATTTAGTGTTTTTCTGATCTCGTCTTCATGGTATTTTGCATTAAATCCAGTTCAGAGTATCTGTACACTATAATGCCATTTAAAAGTTGTATCTAATGCGCAATTTTTGGCATTCAATTAACATTAACAGAAGTTAATAAATCACAAGAGATATTTTTTGTTCTGTGAAAATATGCAACGTTTATTTAAAAAACTCTAAAAACATTTAATTGGATTTATTATTTAATTTTTAATTATTTTTTATATTTAATATAAGGTTATTCTATCCGTAAATAATTAAATTGCATTAATGCGTATGTTTGAGACATAGAAATAATGTGGAGTTATAGTAGTCAAAGTTTGGAAGTAGATATGGATATAGCCAAAATTTTGTATAAGTTATATTAATATTTTTTATTTATATTTATATTTTTTTAATATATATTTATACTTATTCAGTCTAATATAGTTATAACACATTTAAGGTTTTTGGTCTTATCAATTTCCATTTTTCAACACAGCACTTCCAAATAACCATATATGTATATACATATCGTATCGTTCATATCATAAACAAATCTGTTTTTTTTCATAATATTTGTTGATTTCATTTAATCAATTTGAACTCATTTTCAAAATTCTTATAAAATCGTCTAAAAAGTGAAATGAAATGTATCGCAATGTAGGTGTAGGCCTTTTTGTATTTTAGAACCGCTAACGTCATTATATCTAAATAGCAGTGCTTAATCAAACCGCGTTAAACGGCTACCAACTGTCAACTCCGCAGAAATTTGATTAATGAAGCATTGGAGAATTATAACGCTAAAGTGAACGCCTTCCATCTGATAATTATAATTCAGTTGGATTAAACTTTTATAGCGATTAAATTATTTTAAATGTATGGCTACCAACTTGAAATGAACGCCAACACCATTTTTGGTTAATTAAACTAAATCAAAACGACATTAATCGCATAGCTAAACACGTGTTTTAATTTTAAATCCAAATTAAAAAAAAAATACTGATTTATTTTTGCAACAGTAAAAAAATATTAGAAATCACTAATACAGTAATAACTTAGGTGGGAGGTTTCCGGTGTTCACACCATATCTTAGACCAATTTTTTTTTTCGGCAATGGTTAGGTTAACTGCTCTAAAACAGACAATCTGTATTGCCTTGTTTTGTCCATAATTGATAGCTTTTAATTGTTTCATTTTTTTTATATTGTATATAAGATTTATTTTTTACTATAGATTTTTTAATATATTAACGGGTTTGGAAGTTTGTGAATGAACCCACACGGCTGTCAATATTAATTAATTTTCAAATATTTTTTATGATTTTTTTTAGATGGTGCATTATGTCTCCGCATCGGCACTGACCTCACAAAATAGTTTAGCTATGCAAAATCATCAGCAATTAACTTTTGGTCAATTATTACGCGCGGCAGGCAATATGGGTGACATCAGAGATTGTCCGGTAAGATAAAAACTATACAGTTTTGGTCTTATGCTCTATATTGATTTTGTTATTTCATTTCCTATTCACCTTTAATAGAGTGCTTGTGGCGCTAAAATTGGTATATGTCGCGCCTTACTTAATCGGCCAGACGTTGTTTCCATTGGCATCGTTTGGGACTCAGAAAGACCAGCAGCAGAGCAAGTACATGCCGTACTTAAAGCAATAGGCACAAATTTACGCCTTTCTGACGTTTTTCATCAAGTGTCAGAACAGCGCTGGGCTCATGGAGTGCAACATGAGCTCGTTGGTATTGTTTCCTACTATGGGAAACATTACACGACTTTCTTCTTTCATACTAAGCTCAAAGTTTGGGTTTATTTCGATGATGCCAACGTAAAAGAGGTATGTTTTATGAGTTTCCTTTATACAACCTTAATGGTTTTACAAAATCTTTATTCATATTAGGTTGGTCCAAACTGGGAAGGAGTAGTTGACAAATGCAGTCGTGGTCGTTATCAACCGTTGTTGCTTTTGTATGCTGTTCCTCAACCAGCAACGGCGCCACAAATAGCTCAACAATACTTACAGGAGTTGAGTGCACAATCCACAGTTGTACGTCGTGCAATTACACCAAGTCCGGAAAAGCCCAATATGGGTAACACACGTCGTGCTATTACGCCTACACCATTACGTTCGCCCAATGACTATCAGAACCTAAGTGTTATACAAAAGAATATATTTTCTACCGCACAGAATAAAGGCAATGATGAGACTGACGCTTACATAAGTCGTAAAACTGTTGAACATGTATTGCATGCACAATACCAGAATCTCAACGTCATACAGGACAAAATTTTTGCTAATGGTACAGCCATTGATGAGAAAGATGGCGCTTATCTTAATCGCAAGCCCATTGAAAATGTACTTAACGCACAGCTCGCACGTAAGCAGCATTTGCAATTACAGCGCAGCCACAGTGCTGAATCGGGACATATAAGCGGTTCCTCAAATGGTTCATCACCACCAAGTGATGGTCTTACCATGCCAGATCATCTTAATCAGCCACGTCGTCGTGATTCTGGTAATTGGTCCGGTGATCGCAACAGTGCCAGCTCTGCTTCATCGACTACTTTGGATAATCCCTATTTATATATGGTAGGCAAACGTGGTCCACCTGCTGTACCACCAAGTCCAACACGTAATGGTCTACCATATGATCCGGGTTATGATTCATTTTCATTGAGCTCCACTGATTCATATCCACCTAAACATCCACTCAATCCACAATTGGCAAAAATACCAGAAACCACCTCAGTTGTGCTTTCCGGCGATTGTGAAAAGTTGTGTCATGAAGCCGATCAACTGCTCGAGAAATCACGTATAGTTGAAGAATCACATGATCTTGAAACTGCTTTAGTTCTCTGCAATGCCGCAGCTGGACGTGCACGTGCAGCAATGGATGCACCATATAGCAATCCCCACACTATGACTTTTGCGCGCATGAAACACAACACTTGCGTTATGCGAGCACGTAGTTTGCACCGTCGCATTTTGGTCGAAAAAGGCGCTGATATGGATGTGATGTTGCCTGAAACGAAGCACACACGCGAAGGTAGCAACAGCAGCGTTAAACACGTTCGTCAAAATAGTAAAGATAAAACTTTGGATAAACCTACTCCAATGGCGGTACCAGTCACAAATAACAATAAAAGCATTGAGATCTATGCCACATTGCCGAAGAAGAAAAGTCCTCTTAAAACGCTAGCTACATCAATTGGAAATGATGAGAACGCCATTGAGTACGAAAGTTCGCAGCCTATCAAACAAGAACGTGAAGGACGATCTCTATTTGGACGCAGTAATAAGCAAGAAAAGGATAAGCGCAGTCGCAGCGAGGACCGTAATAAACTGACGCGTGAGTTCTCATTAACTGAAACATTGTTGGTCAATGCAAAAGATACACTCAAAAAGCACAAAGAAGATAAAGATGAAAAGAAAGAGAAAGATAAAAATGGCAAGAAACAACATAAAATCAGACGTAAGTTATTAATGGGTGGTCTTATACGACGCAAGAATCGTTCCATGCCAGATTTGACAGAAGCTGGTGATGAACCCGCAACCCAACCCGCTGTAAATGTGCCAATTAACACATCTGTAGATGACAGCACCGTTGGTTTGAATGGCAAGAATGCTATGAGTGGTTATATATCCGAAGGCCATTTTGACTATCGCGAAGCAAATAATGCAAATCCGAATTTAGAACGCAGTAAACTTATGCGTAAAAGTTTCCATGGCAGTGGAAGACAATTAACAGTTGTTGCTAAAGTAGCTCCACCACCACCAATGCGTGTAGGCTCCACCTTAACTCAACAACAACTGCAGCAACAAATGTTACAAGAAGCTGCTATGATACAATATCATCATGAAGCCAATCTCTCAAATATATCAACAATGAGTTCAAATACATCCATCAGCGATGATTCTTGTCAAACTATTATCACTACATGCGCACAAGTACACTCTGAACAGAGTCCTCTTAAGGATAGTTCATATAATAGCACACAATATCAGCAACGAAATGGTTATGTTGATCGTGGTGTAGATGAAGTTGATGGTGGACGCATTAACATAAGCGCTGGTCATCCTGTAACCCAAGATGTACCATTAGAATTGCCTCCTTATCCGAGTCCACCACAATCCACTTGCCATTCACGTCAAGCTAGTGAAGACTTCCCGCCTCCACCACCTGAAATTGATCTTGAACCGCTCAATCAGCAAATCAATCAAATACATGCACTTGAAGCCAACAAGCAGCAACGCCATTTCGAAGCAATGGAGGGCACAACAAGTATTCTGGCTCAACTGCAACAACGCCAGCACTTGCTGAAGATGCGTAAGGAACAAGCCACACCTACACATGAGAGTGCTTGGCTGAAAGAATTACAAACAAAGCAAACTGATCTCAGAAATATGTCACAACGCAAGCCAGAATCGCCTGTCCCAGCTACTCAAACATCTAACAGTGTACGCGATTTGGCTCATCGTTTTGAGCAGACTAAACTAATAACGGAGCCACAAGCAATGCGTTCTTATGCCTCACAGGAATTGCTTAACAGCAAACTACCACAAATACGCACTCAAATGAATGGTTTGCCCAGTGCTAATGGTATAATAGCAGCACAACCGAAAATAGAAGTTGATGAAGTGGATTGTGCACCACAACGTATCCAACGCCTGCCACCTCATCAAGTGTTACCAAAACCTAAATACGATGTGACGCAAACACAAATAGCTGAGGAAATACGAGAAGTGGAAATGCTGAATACAATGGTTCAGCAAACTCTAAACAACTCCGCATCACAAAATAATGGCCCTGCGCCAAATCCAACTCAACCGAAGCGTGTCAAAAAGAAAAGCGTTTCATTCTGCGATCAAGTAATTTTGGTGGCGACCGCAGATAATGAAGAAGATGATGACTTCATACCAAATCCAATTTTGGAGCGCGTTCTGCGCACAGCACAAAATCCAAACGATAAAATAACAGCGCAGCTCATACAACAACAACAACAAAGTATGCTGCGTTTACAAAGTGAAGCACAGCCACGAGTAGTACAGCAACAGCAACAGCAATCGCAACAACAAAGTCAACAGCAACAAATACAGCTGGCCCAGCAATCACCAATGTTAGGCGGTGACAGAAGACCGATTGTTAACTTGCAAGCACAAGACATGCAGCGTTATGTGCAACTCCAACGACCACAGATGGAAGCAATAAGACAACAACAGCTACAACAGCAACAGCAACAGCTACAACAGCAACAACAGCTACAACAGCAACAACAGCAACAACCACCAAGTGCTGTACAACACATGCCAACTGGACAGGTTTACACTCCAATGCAAGACATTTACCGCATGCAACAACAACAACAACAGCTTGTTGCAAGTGGCCAAATGTCAAATAATTTAACACATATTGCACATACTAACACAACAACATCACCAGCAACTTTACAACAGCAGCAGCAGCAACAACAACAGCTAATGCAGTTTGAACAACATAACATACCGCTGACGTCAACAGCACGTACAAGTATGAGCGGCATCGCTAATGTTGCGCCTACGCAACATCTGCAGATGTTGGCAAATCAAGTTGGTCAACAGCAGCAGCAGCAACAGCAACAACAACAACAACCGCAAGTACCACACTTAGATGGACAGAACAGCTATGTAAGCATGGCTGCACAACGTGCACAACAACTTCAACAACAACAACAACAGCAATTACCACAAAGCTATTCTGTTCAGTTACAAAAGCATCAACAACAATTACAGCAACAACAGCAGCAACAACAACAACAAAATAATGTCGCACCATTTTATCATAGCATGGATACAACACCACTTCCTTCACCTTATCAGCGTGTGCCATTACCTCATGGTTATCCAGTTAATGAGCAATTTAGTACTAATTCCAAACCGCCTTTAGCCTATCCACCTCCAATCCATCAAAATCCTAATCAACCTTCACCTTACTTCCCGCTACCACAGAACTCTGCTGCCGTACCACATCCACTACCACAGCTTAACAAAGCTCCACATCAGAAAAAAGTCAGCTTTGAGCCAGGAACCAAAGGAGAGACTGATATACCCATCTCAGCAGCTACCTTGCCACCCAAACCTGCCAATTTCACGGTAGCACAACAGAATGGACTACCCGCTACGGACAGTAGTGTCAATGTTACTGCCATACCCACGCGTGTTTACAACAATGCCATCGTTAAGGCCTCCGCAAAAGCAGTGGAATGCAATCTATGCCGAAAACGCCATGTCATCGCACCCGCCGTTTATTGCACTAACTGTGAATATTATTTACAGATGTTAAGCAATCGCAGATAGAAGCAGTAGAGACGAAGGTCCTAGACAGACGGAAAACTACATTGTGACAATAAATATTGATTTCATTAGTGCTAAGATTGTTTATAAGTTTAAGTTTATTTAATTTTTAAAATAATTTTAGTACTTAAATTCATATGATGATGCCCCACGACTATGTACATAAGACTTGTACATATGTAGGTACATATTTTATATACTTATTTACGTTTCGAGCAGGTAAGTATATGCTTATTTTTAACGATATATTGTGATATTATTTTACAATATGACATGAGACTAATTCTCCAACTATACGAATCTGAAACATATCATTAATATTCACATCAGAGCGAAATAGTTGATTTATGGTTCTACATAGAATGCAACTATTAACATAGAGAGCAGTAATGATTAGAGTAGCTTGACGATATTGCTATCCTTTTCATATAAGCACATTTGCATTATTTTATGCTTAATAATAATATTTACCAGCGCATGTGAACTCTAATAAAAGCTTCCATTTGAAAACTTTAACTAATTTTAAATTCATATACTAATTTTATAAAATATATATATTATACATATTATATACGAGAATTACATAAAAAACATAATGCATTTCTTTCTACATTTATTTTATACGTAAATTAATAATAGTTTTATTAAAGTTATTAAGTTATTTCTTTAGTCCATGGCGGGCACTGTCGAACGGTGTTTCTTGCCGGGTCTTTAATTATATATATAATATTTTTTTATATAGTTTATTTAAATTTATATTTTATTCTTAAAATTTTATATTATATATTTAATTAGAATAAGTTCAATATTTTTAATAAGTTTTATAAAGTTTTTACAAAAAAAGGACAAATAATTTTCACTTTTTACAGAGAAAACAACTTCCAGAAAAAATATATAATAATAAATAAAATTTTCTTTTACAGATAAAATAAACAAATGTTTTTAATCTTAAAGAGTGGGAGGTTTTGAGAATACAAAAAAAATAGGATTATAACAATTTAAAAATATTTAAAAAATTTTTGTTCTGAACTAGGATTAGATACTCTATTATTGAATTAACATTTTAATGTAGTAATAGTTTTGTTTTTGATACTTAAAAAATTTGGCAGTATTTTAGTATATTCAGAGAACTTGTCCTACAATTGATAATCCACATTGGACCTTACTTACTGTAAACAGATTATATACCGACGTTATTAACCAACTGCTACAGTCGTGTTGAAATTGTTGTTAAAAATGTTTGAGAATGAGACCAAGAGAGAAATTCTGACTAAGGTTTGATCACGGTAACGAGGTTATCCTGTGTCTTAAACCTAGTATTAACATCAATGTTATATCAAAAATTAAAATAAAATTCCATATGAGAAAACTATTTTTCTATATCCAAAATTTCATGATCTTTGGTTCATTTTAGTTAATCCTTTTTTGAAGTAGTAAAGAGTAAAAGAGTATCTGAAAGAGTTCTGAACTTAATTAAAATAGTTGCATTTTGACCATAGTATATATATTCTGTTATTGATGTAAATTAAGACCTACTTCATTTAATAAAAATGAAAGATATGCAATATATAAACAAGTGTTATAAATAACTAAAACTAACGGTGATAACTACTACTGATGAATGTGTACTATTGGTTTAGGAAATAGTCAGGTTTACGTTCTAAAACTATTTGGATATGACGCCAAAGTTATACTCTCCACTTCTGTTAGACTTGCTTCGGTACGGATCAAAATAATAACTGCTATTATACTCAACACTCCTGCTAGATTTAGGATGCAATATGGATAGCAAAAGAAACAACAATTATACTCACCACAAAGTGTGATAACTATACGATAAAGTGTGAAATCCCACTTTCATTTGAGTTGTTTCGGTACGGGTAACAATAATACTTGTGATTAAACTTACTACTCTCTTTGGAGTTGTTGCTTAATAGATAATACAACAACAATGATTAAATTTGTAACAGAAAAAAGAATTCTTAAAACAACTTATCTTTTAATTTATTATCAACAAATTTACTACAAAATATACATGAGATTGAAATTCTTATATATAAATAACATTTATAAATATACATATTAGCTACTGTTACTAAAATAAAAATAATTATATAAACATATACAGTATATAAAAACAAATTAATCAACCTGATTATTAAAAATCACATATGATATTTACAGATAAAAAATTCGAATTTTTTGATATATAAAATAAAATACAACAAAATATACAAAATAAACGAGTTGTGCAGATTTAAGTACATCACAGCGCCAAATTATGATTTATGATTTTCAAATCCAGAAATAATGCCAGAAAGAAATCATTGAACTCAAACTTATCATTTTCAAGTACTACTTTTCGTTATCATCAAAAGCAGCATTGGAATGTCCAGCATTTCTTACACGGTTTGCATTACCATTAGTGTTACTCTTGGATGTTTCCTCTACATGACCATGTTCTGGATCATCCGGATGTTGAACGTATGTATAGCCCATAGCGAGTAACATAAAAATGAACATATCAACTATCATAAGTCCGGCAAACAGTGCAAATTCAGCGGCCTAAAAAGTTGTTATTATCAAATTAAATTTTTATCACAATTCAAAATTGATGAGCATACCTGAGATTCAAAGAACTTAAGTTCAGCTATAACAACGACCAGCATATTTCCAATAGCTACAGAAAGTAACCAACAAGCCTGTAACACAGACTTCATGCTCTGCGGCGCTTGAGTGAAGGAGAACTCCAGACCAGTAACGGAGAACATAATTTCTGCGGCCGTAATAACAATAATCTGTGGTAATTGCCACATCATGTGGACCTGATTTGGTGCCACCACAACATGTGCTTTTGATATCTGTAAATAAAGAAGAGAGTTTTAGGATTTTCATTTATTTAGTTTTTTTGAGAGAAACATACAAACGATGACATTGAATCGCTATTAATCACAAGAGCGTATACGCCACCTCCTTTAGTTGTTATATTAGCTGCAGTTTTGCCATTAATTACAATTGTGCTTTCCCCCGCCGCTACATTCACCAACTTTGAGGCATCATAAGCTGTGAGTTTAGTGTTTTCACCTGTTGGATCCCTTATTTGCATAAGACCTTCATAGCTAGGTATATTAAGCAACACACGTACAGCAGGGTTACCAAGTTTTGGCTTTGTGGGATAATCCTCAAATTCATGCAAACGATCATCAGCTATAAAATATCCTATAGCTTTGCCTGGTTTTAGTTTCAGTTCTCCAAAAATATTATGGCATTTGGCATTATCTGTTGTTGCATTATACCTGTACTTCATTTCCTTCATGACAGGAATTTGTAGTTCTTGCCACACATCTAAAGGTTTTATTTTACCCGACAGTCCCATAGGTAAATCAGTCTTAAAATGATAATCGCAAGGCATGCCATTATAAATACGCAGTTGTGCATCCATTGGTCCAGGTACGATTGGTTTCTCAGCTTCTAATTTCAGCTCAACAAATGCCGAAAGTCCAAAAGCTACAGCTGCTAATAAACCACCCAAAGTCAATTTCTGTAATGGACGACGAATGCCAATTTTGGAAAGTATTGGATAAAATACGTAATCAAAGAGCGGTATGAATCCCAAAATCAATAATGGATTGATAACTTGCATTTGATCTGGTTTTATGGTATAACCATAAAGTTCACCATCCATGCGTGTGGCTTGAAAAGTCCAACGTGAACCTTGTTGATCGAATAATGCCCAAAATACTGGAAATGGTAAATATAAAACTAAAATCTTTAGTAGGGTTTTTGTGTCGGAGACCATTTTCAGACCAGACGCAGCTTCGGCATAATCAAGCCAGTGTTTTCTAGGATTAGTTTTACGTTCACGTCGCCAACCTCCAATGGCATCGGAAATACACTTCGAAACACCGAATATCATATTACCTGCCGGTGGTTTCATGGTGTATAACTTCTTGCCGGCAACAAATATTACAACTGATAACAACATCAGTACGGCCGGCACACCAAATGCTAAAGAGAAACAATCTTTGTCACCAAAGCAGTGAACATCTTGACGCAGTATCGGTGTAAGAGAGGTTGATATCATTGAACCTGCATTGATGGCAAAATAGAATAACGAAAAGAATGTGGCCAATTGTTTAGCTTGCTCAGGCAATCGAAACTGATCTCCACCGAAAGCCGAAACACAAGGTTTTATACCACCGGTACCAACAGCTATCAATACGAGACCAATTATGGTAGCCTCCCTGTGACAAAGAGAATTGTTTCATTTAGTTTTTATTAGTAAAAAATACATTAAAATTATTGGATTTGCATTATAATTTGTACTTACTTTACTGGCAATTGCAGTGGTGGAACTGCTCCTAGGGCAATAATTACACCGCCAATGGCATAAACAATGGACAGGTAAAGAATTGTTTTAAATTTTCCCAACCAACTGTCGGCAATAATGGCTCCGACAAGTGGACATAAGTAGACCAGCATTGTGAACACATGAAAGAGCACCGTTGAAGTGTCGTCATCGTAGTGCAATTTACTGGTGAGATAAAGTACCAAGATCGCTATAAAAAAGTTGAAAGTAATAAGAAGAAATTAATTTCACTTAAGGAATTTTTAATGTTTTTTCTTAAAAACTTACTTCGCATGCCATAATAATTGAAACGTTCACAAAACTCATTGCTAATGATGAATCCCACAGATTTGGGATATTTTAGCGGCTGCAATTAAACAAGGAGTAAACCAAATTATTTCATGTGTAGCAGAAGAAATGTAAGTGAAATGGAATGAATTCTCTCACGTATTTCGTGAAATTGATGTTTTCAATAAATTACTTGTTTTTTCTTTAAAAAAACGTCAGATACTGGTAATTTCAAATGACTATAAGAAAAAACGGCCTAAAAAGTCAGGTGTGGGCAATACGACTTCATATTAAAATTGAGTTGTTTGCAGTTCGAAGTTATTTTATTTATTTTGAGCACCATTATTGTTTTAATTAAATACTTAAATAAAATAATCCAATAGATATAATCATTATCATTAAATTGTTTTGACATCAGCCGTGTTTCTGTAGACGGCATTACCATTTGCGCTTAGTTTTTTATGAAATTAAGCGCTTAAGGTATACAAGCGCAGATAGAAAAAAATGTTGCCAACTATATTTTTGATTTTTCACTTCGTCAGCTGATCTACATTTGGTGTTTCTGTATCAAAAATATTATGCTGTTAAGTGTTGCCTATAATTATTGTATAAAATTAAGCGCTTAATGTAGATAAGCACAGATAGAACAAATATTGCCAACTATATTTTTGATTTTTCACTCCGTCAGTTGTTCTATATTTGGTGTTTCTATTGAAATAAATGTTCTGCTGTAAGTGTTGCCTATAATTTTTGTATGAAATTAAGCGCTTAATGTACACAAGCGCTATAGAAAAAAACTATATTTTTGATTTTTCACTCCGTCAGCTGTTCTATATTTGGTGTTTCTATTCAAATAAATGTTCTGCTGTAAGTGTTGCCAATACATTTTTCAAACTTAAAGAAAATGTTTGCGTTTAAAACGCATATGCGTTTTATATTAACAAGACTATTATGAACTGGAATAGTATTTAGCAATAGCAACAGCATTTACGAATATTATTAATTAATTATGTTACACAAAAACGTTTACTTTATTGAAATTACAAGTTCTGAACAATATTAGGTTGCCTATCTCTGGACTTGTCTTACAAAAAATGATTGACAAAACAAGTTTGATTGATGGTTGCATATTTCATTTATACTTGCAGATACGTAATTTTTTAAAGTTAACAGTTTCGTATTAGAAAATTAATAAATTCAGTTGATTTATTAAACGTAATAAACTATTTAGTAAAAATCACACTTTTCAATTTATAAAGTTATATAAAATTAATAACACACCTTGGGTCTTATACAGTTTTATTTAATGGGAATTTATTAAAATTATTTCAAAGTTCATATAAAAAATCTAATTAAAAAAATCAATTAAAGCCAGTGTAAAAAAGTTCAAAATATTTTAGAATGGGTTTGAAACCGTAAACGCGACCTTGTACATGCCACTGGAAACACCGCTTAGTAGTAGAACAAAGCATTTAATGGTAACTTCTAATGACTGACTAACTGATTTTTGTTACGATTAGATTATTTAGCGTTTATTCTCCCAAAACTCTCTACTAAATTTTCTCAAAAAAATATACCTACTTCATGTAGAAGATTAGTTTAGTCGTATTGGGATACCACTTTTGTAGTTTCTAATAAATTTTCTTCAACAAATAAACGATTTATGTTAAAGATTCTTGAAGGGAATATAATCTAGTTAAGTCGTATTGAAATTACCATACCATATTTGTAATTTCTAATGAATTTTTTCTAGAATCTATTTAAGTCACATTGAGATACCACATATGCTATTTTAAATATAAATTTTCTCTAAACAATATTCAGCATTAGGTGCCATATGTCTCAGAGGGAATATAATCTACTTCAGTCGTATTGAGACATCACATTTAATGTTTCTAATCAATTTTATTTATAAAATGATCAATTCACGGATTCAGAGGGAATACGAATATAATCTATCTTTGTTTCTTTCTATACAATAAGATACCATAATTGTTGTGTCTAATACATTTCCTCTAAAAAATATTCTTCATGTGCTAGGATAGGTTACAAGTATCTTAGCGCGAATAGTAAGTCGTATTGAGATACCATATTTTTTCTCTTCTTTAAGATATGGTAATTTATAAAGGTAATTATGGTAATTATAATTTATAGATACCATATATTCTAGGTTATGCTAGGTTAGGTTACAAGTGTTTCAGAAAGAATAGTAAGTCGTGTTGAGATACCATATTTTTTCTCTTCTTTATAGTTATTTACGGCTATGGGATTTTATAGAGGTAATTATAATTTGGAGATACCATATATGCCTTTATGTATATAGTATAAAATATTCTTCATGTGCTAGTTTGGGTTACAAGTGTTTCAGAGGGAAGTTGTGTTGAGATACCATATTTTGCTCTCCTTTATGTTAATTTACGGATATGTTCTTTTAAAGAGGTAATAATGGTAGTTACCATATATCTATTTATATATATGGAATATAAAAGGATTTATTTGTTTTATATACTTCAGAAAAGAAGTGAAAGTGTAATGGTGAAGCAAAGAAGTTCTGGAAACTATCTCTATATTATATCAATATCTTTAGGTAGATCTAGAAAATATGCAGGTATATTAATTCTTTAATTATTAGTATATTTATTACTTCTTCGAAAATTGTTTTAAATTAATTTCAAATATTTTAAACTTGTACTTATCCATTCTCACAAATACAATTCAATCTAATACAGAAATTGTTCGTACCGCAAAAAGCAATCCAAGTCAAGGATGTTTATTGGTTCGGTTTAAATAATTGTAGTTTATTTAGTGTTATTATCGTTTCATTACATTACAACAAATTATTTAATACATAACAACACTTAATAAGAGTATTTAATCGAATATGTAACGCGGTTTACTATATAAGTTGCTGGTAGTATATTTTTGTGTTTGCGGTTTACTGGTAAATTATTAACAATTTGTAAATAAACAATATGAAGAGAATTGCATAACGCTTGACTTAATAATATTTACAAAAATGTGAAATATTGTTAAAAACTTAACAATCAAAATTAACATGCAAAATTCGCTAAATGATGTTTAAGTCGAGAGTGCTTTCCGTTTTAACTTGGCTTGGCTTATCAACGAAGAAAGTATTAATGACCCACTTTTTTCGAAAACTTTTAAAAATTTTAAAAATTTAAAAAAATTTTTACCTGCCTTAAGTGCAATTAACTGTTAATTATATTTACAGATATGCACTTTGCTCAAATCTCAATTAAAAAAAAAAAAATAATAAAAAATTTAAAAACTATTTGATTCGCTTTGAAGCACGTGACTTAAATAGTTCGAATAGATTTTATTACTTGACTTAAAAAAAAATTGTCTGAGCCATAAATAAATCTAATAAATACTTTTTAGTCTCTTGGCCAAGGTTGACAAGTTTTATTTATTTTGAGCAAAAATATTGTTTTTATTTAGTAGTAAAAAAATGTAATGTCAACAAAAATGTTTTTAGTATTTGTTTTTTTTTTGACAAATTATTTTTTATTATTTTTATGAAATCCATGATTTAATTGAAATTTTTTATTTTGGTTATATCGGAAGTTTTAGAGATGCTCAATGCTATTGACACACCCAAATTATATGCTTTTCAATGTTATAAAAAGGTGGGTGGGATTAAAAGATAAATTAAATCTTTGTGTTAAAACTTTAAAGTACCCTTACTTACAAAAACATATTTTAAGATACTACGAAACTTTTGGATTAATGATAAAGATCAGATAAGTATTCAGATCATCTGTGTGGTTAGAGTGTTTTAGAAAATTTTAATTCACTTATTAAGTTAACTAAAAACTTCTTGATTTTGAGAAACTAAAATTTATATTAAGTATCCATTAAAGCCGTGTATCTTTTCTGAATAATAAGTTTTAAACACCCAAACTGAATCCCCCTTAAGAGATTAAAGTACTTCAATGGGGTTAAGTAAAATGTAGATACAAATAAAATAGATTCATCTCATCATCTGAAAAACCTCAACTAATTGTCGAATGGTTTTTTGCAACTACAAAAAGTCGTTATATGGTAAGACATTTGGTATGGACGATTGAGGAGGTCATACTTTTTTAAAGGCGTTACATAAGCCGTCCATTGTTATTTGTAACTTGATTTTGGCTTGAAATTGGCAATTTCATTGCGAACATTAAGTGTTCTGTTTTGGTTGTGTCGCTTGATAAACCCTGTAATTTGCGTATTTATGAAGTAAGTTGGCAAGAAAAGTAAAGGAATTTGTCGTCATTTAACAAATACGACAAATGGACAAATATATTAAATACGATATTTTTTATAGAAATACTTAATTGTTCATATGTATATGGACTATCTTCATATTCTCAACTACTTGAAAACGCATATCCTCTGTTTCATTGAAAAATTACCATAAAATGATTCACAACTGTTAGATATCCCGTGAAGGATATTGAAATGAATGCGATAGTAAGCAACTAATCAAGCTAGCTGGCGGAGGCCTCTTGAAGCGGCCAAGGACGACTCACGTCTGTAATGGCCAACTAAGTAACTAAGTAAGTAGCTAGTGAGGACGCTAACTTTTGGTTTGTTTTAAATTTGGTTAACTTTTTCTGAAGTTTTTTAATTGATGACCAAAGCTGGTGGTGATAGAGTTTATTTACATAATTATTATTATGTTAAGGCTAGTTGAGTCAGTGCACCTGAGCACTTTTACTCTCTATTAACTGCGAAGTTTCTTCAAAACTCCTTTTTGAGCCTTGACTAGATTATTGTTTATCACTTCATCAGACTAAGCAATAATTGATCTCAGATCTGCATACCTCCCCCAGGAGCCTGTAACTATTCTGCGATTTGATAACGCAGTGTTGGTAAATCTGTCAGATTTCGTAAATAATTTCAGGGCAACATAACATATATTATTATGATTAGCTCCCATAAACATGGCTAGCAGAGTTTAAGGTTAACAACAAACTGAAATCAGTTGTCATCTATCATTTTTATTAATATGTATTCACCTAATGTATTTATCAAATTTTAATATTGTTTTAATAAAAATAACTCACCAACAAATTC